GTTTGCCTGCGTATCACCAGCGGAGTCTGCAGAACAGCAAATATTGCAGAACAGCAAATATTGCTGGCTGATCCTTCTTCTGTAAGCTTCATCCAGAGGGTCACCTACCTGTATGAGGTGTCATTTGGCCCCTACTGGGAGGTGTCTACCACTTAGGCTAAACAGGGTTCAGGAACCCACTTGAGGATGCAGTCTGTCCTTTCTCAGAGTTCAAACACTGTGCTTAGAGAACCATTATTCTCTTCAGAGCTGTCAGACAGGGATGTTTAAGTCTGCAGACGTTTCTGCTGCCTTTTGTTCAGCTTTGCTCTGTCCCCCGAGAGTTGGGCTCTAGAGAAGCAGCAGGCCTTGCAGAGTTGCAGTGGGCTCCACCACGTTTGGGCTTCCTGGCAGCTTTGTTTACCTACTCAAGTCTCAGCAATGGCGGACACCCCTCCCACTGCCAGGCTGCTGCCTTGCAGGTTGATCTCAGACTGCTGCACTAGAAGTCAGCAAGGCTCTGTGGGCATGGGACCCACTGAGCTAGGCATGGGATATAATCTCCTAGTGTGCCGTTTGCTTATACTGCTGGAAAAGTGCAGTATTTGGGCAGGAGTGTCGCGATTTTCCAGGTACAGTCTGTCATGGCTTCCCTTAGCTAGGAAATGGAAATCTCCCACCCCTTGCACTTCCTGGGTTAGGCGATGCCCCACCCTGCTTTGACTTGCCCTCCATGAGCTGCACCTACTGTCCAACCAGTCCCAATTAGATGAACCAGGTACCTCAGTTGGAAATGCAGAAATCACTGTCTTCTGCGTCGATCACGCTGGGAGCTGTAGACTGTAGCTGTTCCTAATCAGCCATCTTAGAACGGAAGAGACTGGGTAATTTTTAAAGAAAAGAGGTTTAATTGACTCACAGTTCTGCAGTCTGTAGAGAAACCATAACACAGGCATCCGCCTCTGGGTAGGCCTCAGACAGCTTACAATCATGGCATAAATTGTAGGTGAGGAGCAGGCATCTCACATGTTTGGAGCAGGATCAAAAGAGTGAGAGGTGCCACACACCTTTAAACAACCAGATCTCACTAGAATTCACTCATTATCATGAGGACAGCACCAAAGGATGGGGCTAAACCATTCATGAGGAATTCACCCCCATGATCCATTCACTTCCCACCAGGCCCCACCGCCAACATTGGGTATTATATTTCAACATGAGATTTGGGTGGGGACAAGTATCCAGACTATGTTACCTGACTATTCTCAAAGTGATGGACATATTCATCCTTACATGTCCTCTTGTAGACCTACATGAACATTTCTTTGGGCCCATTTTCAGGAATAGAATTGCTGAGTCGTAGGAAACATATATGTATATTTTTTTGATTAAGTAGTTCCAGATTGCCCTTCTGAATGACCCCACCTGTCTGTAACCCCCTGGTTATAGTGGATGAGGATTCCTATATGCCTTCAACCCTACCAGCACTTGGCATTTTCTTGCTTTCTAGTTTTTGCAAATCTTGTAGTCTTAAAGCAATATCTTATTTTAATTTAACTTTATTTTATTCCCAATGTTTTGAGCTTCTTTTCATGGTTGTATGCTTCTGGGATTGTCTCTTACGCAACTTGCCTGTTCTTATGCTTCATATATTTTTCTTTTGGGGCCTCTTTTTCTTATTGAGTTACAAAAGTCCCTTGTATATTCTAGATAATAATTCCTTGTTAGTTTTAGGAGTTGCACCTATTTTCTCCCATTCTGTTATTAATTTTTAAAAAGTCTTTCCCTGTTCATAGATCCAAGGTACTCTGCATTTTCCAATAACTTTATAGTTTTATGTAAAAGTTACATATAGATGCATCTAGAATCCAGTTTTGTATATGGTGTTAGGTAGGGATATGGCTTTATCTTACTGCGTGTACTAATACTGTTTCCCCAACACATCTAGTAAATACTCTTTTGTCTGTCAATTTGTAGTGCCATGTTTATGCTCTGTTAGACTCCCATTTTTCACATCAGTCTGATTTTGAGCTCTGGTCCTTTTCCATTGGTTTATTTTTCTGTTTTTGCAATAGTACTAGAGGTTTTTGTTGTTGTTGTTGGTGGTGGTGGTGGTTTTTTTTCCCCACAGCTTGGAGTATGTTTTAATACCTAGTAGAGCAAATCTTACCCTCTTTACTTTGTTTTAAGTTTGATTTAGCAATTTGTGGGGTTTTGTTCTTCTATGTAAATTTAGAATAAGTTTATTAGAAAATCCACTTTGAAATATGATTGAAATTGTATTGAATTTATAGATTAATTTGAGGGATAATTGCCATTTTTATTATATTAAGTTGTCCTATCCAAGAGCATAGACATTATTTCTTTAGATTGTATTCTATATCCTTCATTAGACTTTTAAAGTTTACTCTGTAAAGGTCTTGTATATGCTTGGTTAATTAAGCTAATTTCTAGATTCTATATAATTTTTGTTGCCATCATGAATGGTATTTTTATGTTTTCTAAGTGGTCATTGCTGGTGTAGGAAAATGTTATTGACTTTTGTAGGTTGATTTTATATTTGGTATCCTTGTTGAACTCTTTTATATTAGCTCTGAGAGTTTGGTTGATTCTTTTCTTTCATTTTTTTTTTTTTTCTGGTTGAATGATTACCTTCTCTGTAAGTGGTGCCAAATATAGAACTTCCCTTCTGATCCTTGCATTTCTTAATTCCACGCCCCCTTTCCTCATAGTATTTAGCCACGATATTTAAAACAGTAGCAGTGATAGAGTCAAGTTTGTCGTGTTCATGTTTTTAAATTAATGCAGTTAGTTTCTTCATTATTCATAACATTCTTTGTAGGTTTTTTGTATATAATTTTTACCAAGTTAAGGATGTTTACTTTTATTCCTTGTTCACTAAGGATTATCATTATAAACAGAATTAAGCTATATTAAATGCTGCTTTTTCTGTATCAATTGAGATAAAGCATATAATTTTTCTGTTTAGTCTTGCTGATATATTACATTGACATTTTCTGATGTTGAACTCCCCATGCTTTCTTGTGATAAACTGCACTTGATCAAAATGTATTTTAAAAAATATACTGTTGGATTCATTAAAATTATTTAGCATTTTTTGTGTCTATATTTCATAAGTGAAATAGCCCTAAACTTTCTTACTTTATAATTGTCTTTATTTGATTTTAGAATCAAGATTAAATTGCCCTCATAAAATGGACTGAGTAACTTTATTTTTTTTCCAGTGACCAGAGTCAATTGGATAAGGTAGTAATTAATTATATTTTGGAAGTTCGGTAGAATAAACCTATAACGTCATCTGGACCTGAGGGTTTTGTTAGGGAAAATCTTTGACTACCATTGCCATTTTATTTTTTTCTTGATATTTAAAAATATTTCTTGTAAGTTTTCCAATTTATTAGCATATTATTTTTCATAATACTCATAGTTTTAACTTTTTATGTTTTCCCTTTTTCATTCTGTATTTTATTTGCATCTTTTCTCTTTTTTAGCAACGATCTATCCTATTAACCTTTTGACATAATTAAATTCTGGTTTGTTAATCTTTTCTGTTCAGGCTGTGTGTGTGTATCTGTGGAGGAGGATTCTCTGGTTTTAAATTTCTGTCCTTTACCATCTTATTTCTCTGTAATTTTGCTATTTCCATTACATTGACTGTTTAACTAGTATGTCGTTAACCTTTCTCATTTCATGATAAACTTACTGCTGTACATTTACTACTTAGTTCTTGTTTAACTCCGTCCTACAAATTTTTATTTGTGTTTTTATTATCATTCACTTTTAAATCTTTTTTAGTTTCCTTTCTTTTTTCTTTTTAACTCAAGGTTAATTTAATAATAAGCTATTGTGTTTTCAAACATTTGTTAAATTTTGGCTATTATTTTGTTGTTAATTTCCAGTGCTATTGCATTGTGGTTGGAGAGCCTAAACTGTATGATATTCAATGTTTGGAATTTATTGATGTTTCATTTACGGCTGTAATCATGGTCTCTTTTTGGAATTTTTTTTTTGTTGTTGTCTTGAATGTTCGATTTGTTGGATATAGAGTCCTACTCTGTATATAATAGCTTGAGTTTCTTAGTTGTAATGTGCAAGTGTTCTGTATCTTCATTTGATTTTTTTTTTTTTTTTTTGGTCTGCTTGACCTATCAGTTCCTAAGAAGAGTATTAAAGTATCCATATGCACTTGTTCCTTTTCTCTTTGCAGTTCTGCTAGTTGCTTGATATACTTTGAGACTGTATTATACAATATGTTTATATTTATGATGGCTATATCTTCTTGTCCTATTGATTTTTGTCATGTAAATTCTATTTAGTCAGATATTGAGACTGCTACCTCAGCTTTATTTTAGTTTATATTTGCCTGGCATATCTTATTATTTTCAGTTTGTCTGTGACTCTAAAGTATATCTCTTCTAGTATGAATATTGTTGAATCTTTTGTTTTAGTCTGTGTCTTTCTTTTAATTGGTAAGTTTAATTCATGTACATTTATTGCAATTACTTTTATATTGGGATTTAATTCTGGCATTTCTTTTTATGTGTTTTATTTATGGTACTCCTTTTTTTTTTGTTTTGTTTTGTTTTTCTCCTTTTCTGTTTTATTCTATTCTTGCCCTGTAATGTAAGATCTATCTTCATGTTATTTACCCTTACTGATTTTTTTACACATACAATAGCTGTACCTTCTTCCAACAAGATAAGTACCTCAGCAAGCTCTCAGGTTCTATATAGTTTCCAGTTATACATACCTCATCTTGTAAACTTTGTCTAGAATTTTTATCTTTTCTAGAATACACGTTTTCCTCTCACTTTCATAGTTTTTCCAGTGCTGATTTCAGAAAAGGTAATACGGATCATACTAGTTTGCCACCTTGGTAGGAACTGGAAAAACTCAAGTTTTGTAGCAAATTAACAGCATTTATCTTGCTTTGAATGGCCCCACTTCAATCACAGGTGGTGAGTTGGTAACTTAATCAGTGTTTTTTACTCCAATAACAGGTAGAAAATGTGAAATTGGTGGATCGTTATGTGAGTAAGAAACCAGCTAATGGGATTCTTTATCTTACTGCAACCCACCTGATCTATGTGGAGGCTTCTGGTGCAGCCCGGAAAGAAACATGGGTATGTTCATGAGAAGAAGTATCAAAGGGTCTTAAAGAGTTGTGCATACATGCTGTCTATATGGTAGTTTCTTGAAATTTCAAATATAATTTTTAAATTGCTGTAAAACCTTTTCTTCAAAGGACCTATTGTAATAATCTTTTTGTGGTCTGAATTGTATTACTCCTCTTTTTTCAAGTTATTGACTCTGGTCATCGTAGTCATTTTATTCTACATTGTAATATTCCTGGGGATTAGCTAAATTATTTTTAGGTAGAATAGTTTCTGCTAACTTCCTGAACTATGTTTGTAAGCATCTTGAAGTAATTTAAAGCCTGCTATCCATAAAATGTAGTTCAAGAACCAGCAGTATCTGTAGCATATGGGAACTTGATAAAAATGCAGAATCTTAAGCATAAGATTTTGAATTTATAAAAAGGGCTCAGTTTATGCTGATGCTAAGGCCTTATTGACTTTACCTTGGGCAGCACTAATTTAGACCATCTCTCTGTCCTAAGACAGGATTTTACCTAGGTATATATATATATGTGTGTGTGTGTGTGTGTGTGTTTGTGTGTGTGTGTGTGTGTGCGCGCGCATGCACAGGCATGTGTATGTGTTTATTTTTACACCTGTAAGTAATGTTTTCTAATTACTTCAGCACCCCAACATTACTTTATGCCTTACCCATCCTAAAGATCATAATTTAATCTTAATCATTAGATTTATGCTTAGACCTCTTCATTTATAAGAAGTACAACATGCTTCTTTTATACAGCATAGCTTAGTGATTAAAGCTTTAGAGCCAGTCTGCTCAGGTTAAAATCCCGGCTTCAACATTTACTACTTTTGTAACCTTGGGCGAGTTGTTTAACTTTTCTGTGTCTCGCTTCCTTCATCTGTAAAATAGAGATAAAATAATACCTTGAATATTTTTAAAGAGTTTTAAAAAGTCAAGATACAAGAATTATAAAGTGAATGTTTATAAGTGCTTATAACAATGCCTGAAACATGGTAAATACTATCATAAAAGTATAAAATAAATTGAATTGAGTATGTATATGAAAAAAGTATCTTAATACCTCCTTTTAAAACTGAACTTTCCCCGTATGTATCTTGCTTTTTGTCCTGTGATGATAAGAATGTCAAAAGAGGAGTGAGAGCTGGGCTAGACTAAGCTCTGATGCTAACTGGCTGCGTAACCTTAGGCAAGTGATTCTTACTCTCCGGGCTTGTTTCTTCATCTGTAAAATGAGGTGGTTAGATTATATAATTAGTAAGGATTCTTGCAGTTCTAACAGTTTAGGAACCAGTTCTTTAGTACTGTGCCATGAGCCTATCTCCTATCTACCTGCATTTATAGACAGTACAGATGTCTCCAGATTTGTTCCTTTTGGGTATGATTTCAAATCCAGGGGACTGTATCTGGAATGGAGGACTTATACTATTTCTGATGTCAAAGGAGGCTTATTTACCCAATTAGGGAAGTTCTTCCCAGACTTAGTCTGCCTACCTTCCCCCGACCCTTTCCAGTTTCACCACAATTGTTTGCCTGGGCCCTGATCTCGATTATCAGTATTGTACTACCAAAACACACATCTCTCATGTTGACTAGAAGATCTTTTATTTTCTTGAGGTTGAATATATTAATTCATATTACATTTTGTAATACCTCCAGTACTGCCATGGCAGGACTTGAGTGTGACAAAACAGTTAAGATAAAAATTAATCATACCTGTGATCCCAGCAGTTTGGGAGGCTAAGGAAGAAGGATCGCTTGAGGCCAGGAGATTGAGATCAGCTTGGGCAACAAAGCAATACCTAGTCTCTACAAAAGTTAAAAAATTAGCCAGGCATGGTAGCACACAACTGTATTCCTAACTTACTTAGGAGGATGAGGCAAGATGATCTCCTTTGAGCCCAGGAGGTTGAGGTTGCAATGAGTCATGATTAAGCCACTGCACTCTAGCCTAGGCAACAGAGCAAGACCCTGCCTTAAAAAAATAGAAAATTTATCCTAGGAATATCTGAATCATTTCCACACTTGCTCCATTCTTAGATGGTGGATATGATTGAAAGAGTTCATTGAAGAGATGACTTTTCCAAATAAATTAGGGACTGGGACATTGAGGTGGTGGGAGAGCAGAAAAGGCACTATTGATTGCAAGACCATTCCAGGCACAGGACAGGGAGTCTAGATAATGGAAAGAGCACATCCAGGCTCCATAGTTGCAGAAACATCAGATAGGGATAGGAGGAGAACATCAAAGATCAAAATGCAAAACCATGATTCTATGGCTTTTTGAATCAATTAAGAGAGAATTAATATTATTTGGACACATTTTGTTTCATCAGTTCCCTTTCTGTGCATTTCTTTGCTGGCATCAGCATGAACAGAAGTAATCATCCTACATTCTTTGCTTTACTGTCACTAGAGTTTAAAATGTAGAGGAATAGTTCCTCCCTAACATTTCTAGTTAAATCCTTATTCCAGAACTAGAGTTTTTAGAATTCCCAGAGAAGAATCTTGGCCTTATATGGACTGCTATGGTTCAAATTCTGTTTGTGCCACTTCTTGGCTATATGATATCTGAAGAGGAATTCACTTCTCAGAGCTTTGTTTTTTTTCATTCCTGAAATAGGATGATTACATGTCAAATGGCTCTTCTTAAATAGCTAATGGTCATGGACTACTTTGTTTATAATAAAGCACAATACCAACTATTAATAACTATCTTAATTAGTAATTTGATATAAGAAAAGAAATTCTTATTTTCCTCTGTAACAATTATTCTGTGATTGTGAACTCTCTCACAGCATGCTAAAAGTCATCTATTCTGAGCCGATCCACCAAAATGTCCCACAACTTGGTAATCTTGTATCCTTAAGGAGAGAGAAGTTTTCTAATACTGCAGTCTGCTTCTTGTTGCTTTACCACTATTATGCTTTAGTTCTATTTGAGAGAACCCCAGTTGTGTCTTACAAAGAGTGGTTGTAGGCTATAGATGTAGCCTACAGATCTGGTCATGCTGTTACCATTACGGAGAGTCAGGAATATTGATAGTGATAGAGATATTGCACATCTGTATGTATACGCTGCTTCTTTTATGTTTTTCAGATTGCACTCCATCACATTGCCACCGTGGAGAAGTTACCCATCACTAGCCTGGGCTGTCCCCTGACCCTCCGCTGCAAGAATTTCCGGGTGGCCCACTTTGTTTTAGACTCTGACCTTGTGTGCCATGAGGTTTATATTTCACTGCTCAAGCTTTCTCAGCCAGGTGGTTGTGATAGTATTTTTATCTAAAACCATTTTAATGTTTTTCCAAAATGGCATAATGGAAAGATCAGGGCTATGGAGTCAGAGGAGTGTTTGGATCTGGACTCTACCCCTTATTAGCTCCATTATATTTGGACAAATTATATAACCTCTGAACTCATTTTCTTTACCTGTAAAAGTAAGGAGAGTAAAAGCTCTCCAATGGGGGTTGTTTTGAGCCTTGAATACCTTCATGTATTAGTATGTAGTAAATGTTTAGTAGATATTTTCTTCTCTCTCCCTCCCTCCTTTTAAGTATCAACTTGTGAATGTTTCCTCAGTTCAGGAAGGAAGACTGCTGTGGAACAAAATTTGTTTCCTGTTGTCCTGCAGACTTTTTGTTTGGCCCACGATATCCACCCCTACTTTTAATTCCATCTAGAAGACTAAGGCAGTTCATCAAAGTCCTCATTAATGTAGGACTTAATGCTTCCTCCAGCTTCATCCTTTCATTCCCCATCCTCCACCCCTGGCAATTAACCGTCAGCTTCCTCTGATTTTAGTCTTTGATTTTAATCATGCTCTTACATTTTCTCCCCCATTTTTCCCCTATTCCCCCAAAATAATTCCTCAATATTTGCTGATTTTTATGGATAAAGTTACCTGCTGGATGACCCAGCATTTTACAAGTCTCTGATAGGCTCCATTCATCTCTGGAGAAGTTGTTGCCACATAAATTGGTCAAATGAGTTATTTGATTGGATGCTGTATCTTGTGAAGGGAGGAAGCAGGACTGACAGAGAAAAGAGAGGAAGTGGCCATTTATAAGTCAGAAGTTGCTGTTGGCCTGACAAGTAGAATGCAAAAACATTGTTGAAGATGTGTGCAACATGTTACAATAAGCAGTACTGTTAGGACATGGGAGCCCAGTTAAAAACTTTTGGTAAGGACTCTTTTCCTAACATGTGAAACCCTGAAGCCTCAGTTCAGTCAATTATCCAGCATTCTTTTTTTTATAGGAAGCCAGGCAGAAAGATCCCACTTTGTATTGATACCACAAAAAATTAAAACATTTTTTAAAAGAACCCAAACAGTATTCCAGTTTTTATTCCTTACATAAAGGCAAACTTACACACATCACAGTCTTTTTCTGGGACTGTTTGATAAACATTCCCTTTGGGAAAAGGAAATCTAGCGTTTATTTGCATTGTTTGGTGATTTTTAGGTTTCATTCATCATTTTGTTTTCCATGCCTATCTCTCTTCTCCAGCATTACCTGAAGATCTTTATGCTTTTTCTTATAATCCCAAATCCTCAAAAGAGATGAGGGAAAGTGGATGGAAACTGATTGAAGCAATATCAGACTTTGGGCGTATGGGAATACCCAACAGATACTGGACCATAACAGATGCCAACAGAAACTATGAGGTAATTTTGTCCTTGTTGTTTGCCTTTTGGTGCATTCAATTAAAATGGCAGAATATCAGGAAACAAGATTTTGAAAAAAGAGAGAAATGATTCATAATCCTTCTCTCCTTTCCATTCAACATTCAGCCATTCAACAAACATTTATTGAGTACCTACTGTGCAATAGGGACTGAGTAAGAGATCTCATGGCCTAAAGCATAGGGTGCTATGTGAGCATAGGTGCAGGGCATGAAAATCAACCTAGGAAGCCAGAAACAGCCTGATGCTTTGCGGAGTAGCCTTGTGAAGGCTAATTTACTTTTAACATTTTTAATTTTTAATTATTATGGATATATAATAGTTGTACATATTTATAGGGTACATGTGATGTTTTTATATAGGCATACAATATGTAATGATCAGATCAGGGTAACTGGGGTATCCATCACCACAAGCATTTATCATTTATTTGTGTTAGGAACATTCCAATTCCATTTTCAGTTATTTTATTATTGTTATCTGTAGTTGTCCTGTTTTGCTGCTGAATACTAGATCTTATTCCTTCTATCTAACTGTATTTTTGTACCCATTGAGGATCCTCTTTTTATCACCCCACTCCACTACCCTTACCAACCTTTGGTAACCATCATCTATCCATGAGTTCATTTTTATTTTTTTGCTCGTACAATATGTGAGTGAGGTTATGCAATATTTGTCTTTCTATGCTTTGTTAATTTCACTTAATATAATGTCCCCCAGTTCCATCCATGTTGTTACAAATGACAGGATTACATTTTTTTGTGGCTGAGTAATATTCCATTGTGCATATATACCACAGTTTTCTTTTCTTTCTTTTTGAGACAAGGCCTCACTCTGTTGCCCAGGGTAGAGTGTAGTGGCATGATCATAGCTCACTGTAGCCTCAATCTCTGGGCTCAAGTAGTCCTTGCATCTCACCCTCCCATGTAGCCAGGGCCACAAGCATCCACCCCCATGCCTGGCGAATTTGTTTCATTTTTTGTAGAGATGGGGGTTTTGAACTTTTGGGCTCAAGCGATCCTCCCTCCTTGGCCTGTCAAAGTGCTGAGATTATAGGTGTGAACCACCACGCCTGGCCAGTAGTGGCTATATGATTTACCTTCCTACCAATTGTGTATGAAGATTTCATTTTCTCCATATCCTCACCAGTATCCATTATTGCCTTTTTGATAAAAGCCATTTTAACAGGTGAAATGATAACTTATTGTAGTTTTGGTTTTCATCTTTATGATTATTATTGATGTTGAATGTTTTTTCATATACTTGTTGGTCATTTGTATGTCCTCTTTTGAGAAATGTCTATTCAGATACTTTCTCCATATTTAATTGGATTATTTGTTTTCATTCTTTTGAGTTGCTTGGGCTCCTTATATTTTCTGGTTATTAATCCCTTGTCAGATGGGTAATCTGCAAATATTTTCTCCTATTCTGTGGGTTATCTTTTCACTTTGTTGGTTGTTTCCTTTGCCATGGAGATTTCTAGCTCAGTGTTATCCCACTTGTCCATTTTTGCTTTGGTTGGTTGCATATGCTTTTGAGGTCTTACTCGAGAAGTCTTTGCCCAGACCAATATCCTGAAGTGTTTCTCTGCGTATGGATGTCCAGTTTTCCCAGAACCATTTATTGAAGAGACTCCTTTCCCCCAAATATGTGTTCTTGGTGCCTTTGTTGAAAATGAGTGAACTGTAAATGTGTGGATTATTTCTGAGTTTCTCTCCTAATGTATACAGGGGGAGAAGGAAGGAGGTCAGGAAGTGAAACCATATCATAAAGGGCTTCATGGCCAAATTAAGGAATTGGAACTTTATCATGAAGACAGTTGTGAGTCACAAGAGTATTTACGCTTAAAAGGAACATATGTATATTTGTGTTTTAGAAAGATAACTGTTATTAGTGTGGAGAATTTGTTTGCTGGAGCTAAGAATGCAGGAGAATGATATGTGAAGTTATGAGAACCTGAACTAAGGCAATGGCTGCAGATGGAGAGAAGGAGATGGTTTTGGTTTTGAAAGATATTTAGGTGGTAGAATTGAAAGCAACTGGTGACAGATCAAATGTGACTAGAAAAGTGGAGGAATTTAATATGCATCCCAGCTTTCCTGGTTTCTGGCTTTGATGACCAATGAGTAGTGGTGCTGTTAACAAAGATAAGGACCACAAGAAGAGGGGCAGATGGTATCTTCAATTTTACACTTGATTTCAAGGTGATTAAACAGATATCAAGTATTTGATTTCAAATATTTGGGTCTGGATCTCAAGAAAGAGCTCTGGGCCAAATATGGACATCTGGGAATGTGTTGGAGGTCCCAAAGGCCGTTCCTCAGGTTTTGTGATTTACTAGGAAAATTCACAGGACTCGGCGTATAGTCATACTTATGACTGTGATTTATTACAGTGAAAGGATACAAAGCAAAAATCGGCAAAGGGAAAAGGTTCAGGGGAGAAAGTCAACAAAACTGGAACAAGTTTCCAGAGTCCTCTCTCAGCAGGGTGACATAGGACACACTGAATTCCTCCAGCAGAAATTGTGACAACACTTATGAAATGTTATCTACCAGGATGCTCATTAGAGGCAAAGTGCTCAGGGCTTCTATTGGGACCTGCCCACGTAGGCAAGTTCTGCCTAGTGTATGCCAGAAGTCCAGATGTCCAGAAGGAAAGCAGGTATTCAGAATAAGCCACATTGTACAAACGGTTTTAAACACAATGCAAGTAGGCCTTTCTAAGGGTAGTCTGATGGTTAATATTGTCAATTTGATTGGATTGAAGTATGCAAAGTATTGTTTCTGGGTGTGTCTATGAGGGTGTTACTAGAGGGGAGATTAACCTTTGAGTCAGTGGACTGGGCGAGGCAGACCCACCCTTAATCTGGGTGGGCACCATTCCCTCAGCTGCCAGTGCAGCTAGAAAAAGCAGGCAGAAGAAGGTGGAATGAGCAGACTTGCTGAATCTTCCGGTCTTCATCTTTCTCCCATGCTAAATTCCTCCTGCCCGTGAATATCAGACTTCAAGTACTTCGGCTTTTGGATTCTTGGACTTACACTAGTGGTTTGCCAGGGGCTCTCAGGCCTTCTGCCACAGACTGAAGGCTGCTCTATCGGCTTCCCTACTTTAGAGGTTTTGGGTCTCGGACTGATCCACTACTGGTTTTCTTGCTCCTCAACTTTCTGACGGCCTACCGTGGGACTTTACCTTTTGATCGTGTGAGTCAATTCTCCTTAATAAACTCCATTTCATGTATACGTATATCCTATTAATTCTCTCCCTCTAGAGAACCCTGACTAATACAGGTAGCAATCAGGCCTGCTAGGATAATTTTTCTGCAGAGAGAGTCGTTGGTGTTTAAGTGATATCCCTGAATTGTTCATCTTTAACAGTGTTTTTACTATCATAGTAAGACTGTAATTGCAATGACTTTCTGGTAACATAGCTTTGAATGTCTACTAGGTATGGGGATTGATGAGCTGTGACTTCGCAGGGTCATCTGTGTGGTGACTTGTTAGGGTCATGCTTGAGAGGAATGAGTAGAGATTGGAAGGAAAATCTGTCCACCTCAAATGTGTGTCTGAGTCTTCCAAAGAAGGTCTGAAATATTCTTGTTGGTCTTTTTGATGTGTATAACCTTCTAAGCTGAACGGGGAGCTCCATTTATTTTTCTTTGTATGACCGTCTTCTCCAAAGTTTAAGTCCGGGTAAGGAGGTGGGTAGAAAACATTTTTAAATGGTCTACATTCTGGGGACATTGACTTTAATGAGTTACATAGAGCATTCTTGATCTTATCTACCTTTAACTTTTTTTTATTTTTGCCAGTTCAGTTTATATTTGTTTCATGTGTTGTTAAATGTTTAGGGGTGTTCTTTACTTAGGGGAGTGATTAGAATTAATTTTGCAATGTCAGGTCTGTGGTGTTATAATATTTTGTCACTGTCTTTTTGGAAATATGTATTTTGGTAACCACTAAAAGCTGATAAACTTGAGAAAATATATCAGTCTTTTCATAGAGTAAGTCACACCTAAAACGTCAACACCTCCAACCCCTAGACTAGTGGTTTAAAGGCCATTCATATATGAATACTAGGAACCTAGTATGCAGTTTACATATATAACTTTTTCCCTTGCTAGCAACAGGCTGGAATTTGCAATCACTCAAGCATTAGCTAGCTGGTATTTAATCATCTATTCCTCAGAAATAGAAATGAAAATATCCTTGGTATAAAAGCTTTTCCAAGTATGCTGTTATTTTCTAGAAAGGAAGGGATTGAGACATATAAAAACAAAATGTACTTTTAGAATTAGAATAACAAAAATCATAGAAACACATATAAAACCCCATCTTGAAATTCCTGCGTGTGCCTATCAGAGCAAAAACAATAACTGTAAACAAGTAAATTAATATGAACAGATGCAAATATGAAGCAGACAGGTGAAGGAGGAGAAAATATGATGTACTCTTTCATAAACTGCATACTAGATTCCTAGTATTCATATCTGGATGGCCTTTAAAATACTAGTCTGGGGGTAGAGCTGTTGCATTTTAGGTATGACTTACTCTATGAAAAGACTGACATATTTTCTCAAGTTTATCAGCTTTTAGTGGTTACCAAAATACGTATTTCCAAAGAGAGAGTTATATATAAATATATATTTATATATATTGTGTTTATTTTCTTTTAGATATGCAGCACCTACCCTCCTGAAATAGTGGTTCCTAAATCTGTTACCTTGGGAACGGTGGTTGGAAGTTCAAAGTTCAGAAGTAAAGAACGTGTCCCTGTGCTCTCCTACCTCTACAAAGAGAACAATGTGAGTTAAGCAAATTTCTCTAATGAGAATTATACTTGGCTCTGGAAGACCTGTTTTAAGTTTCATGCTGCCACTTAGTAGCTGTGTGACCTCAAGCAAGTTCCTTAACTTCTCTGGACTTTCATACTTCTGAAGTTTTTTGAGAGGATCTCAGGAGGAAATAATATATGTGTACCTTGTAAATTGTAAATTGTAAAATGTTATGCAGATATTAAGTGGCATTTTAGTGTGTTTATTTGTTTTTCTTTTTTTCCTTTTCTATGGGATCCAGCTTGGTGCAAAGTTGTGAAATGACAGGAAATTAGTTGTATACAGGATTTTTTGGGACTGTGGCCTCCCGGTAGAATACAGATATCCTTGATACTTTCTTACTGCTTTTCATGTAATTTCAGGTAGTAGTAAGAAAGCACTTGACTTCTCTGTGTTTCAGTCCCCTTACTTATGTAGGAAGTGATAATATTTATCACCTCTTGTAATCACTCTGAGATCTGGGGTTAGACAAATAGGCAAATTGTCAAGTGGGCAGCCATTCAAGTGCTAAAGAGTATAGTAATGCAATTGGGTGTCATACTATTGAAGTGAGTCGACCCCTTAAAAACCACATCAAAGTGTAATCAATTTCATTAACTAATCATTACCAGACATTCATGTTAAATAGTTACGTTGGTTTTGTGTTAAAGTGGCTTGAAATAAACCACCCTTCTGATTTGGCATTAACTTCCGAAACTAGTGAACCCTGTTCTCTTAAGACGCTGTAGATCTTTGCTCTATCTTGAATTCTGCTGCCTCTGCAAGCTTATGGTTTATGTGGGCAATATCACTGGGACTGTAAAAAGTGAAGCAGTTTCAGAAAAATAGCCCATTATGTATCGAGAATAGAATTTCACTAAGGAAATACTCAACGATGTGATTTTCTTTCTTTCTTTCTTTTTTTTTTTTTTTTCTGTAGTCTGATTTGCCAAGACTGGGTTGGTAATTAGAGCCACATGCCCAGGGTAGGCAGGAGGTTAAGCACAATGTCAATGGAGAATGACTTTAGAGTCACATTTCTCTTTGCTTTGGACACTATCTTAAGTTGGCTTAGCCGCTCCCTCTACTCATGGAACCTGGCCAGGGTCAAGGAAGATTTTTGACCATTTGTGTATATAATCACTCAACTGACACACTTTTTCCTTACAGGCTGCCATTTGCCGCTGTAGCCAGCCACTCTCTGGATTTTACACTCGCTGTGTAGATGATGAGCTCTTGTTGGAGGCCATTAGCCAAACAAACCCAGGGAGCCAGTTTATGTATGTTGTAGACACAAGACCAAAGGTATCTATTTGTCACTGATGTCTTTGATATTTCTGCCTCTTGCAGTCTTCCTCCTCATATATTGAGACATGCAGTGTTATTGGGGAAGTTAGGTTTGTGTATGTGTGTTTATTACTTCGGACATTGTGTAAAATCATTTCAGGAAGTCATTTGGGGCTCCTTTTATAAGGTGGTCACTGACAAGTGAGGTTATGAGAGGGTAATTCGAACAACCCGGCTTTGCCACCTCAGTGTGACATCCTGCATAGAAGGCTTATTAGCATCCCTCATCTTTTTTACCAAGTCTATTCCTTAACCAGAATTTTCAGTATTCCCATTCTGGGGTCCAAATTTACTGTCCGAGAAAGAGCTTCAACTTAGACATTGGAAACTTACTACAACCAACGTATTTTTTTTCTGTAAATGTGTTAGGTCACAGTAGTTTAATAATACTTTGGTTCTCCCAAAGCGCCAGGGTTCACAAATTTTACTGCTATACGATTAACAAAAAATCTTTAGCTCATGTGGCAGTAATTCTTTTTTAGCATCTAGCACTGTTAGCTGGTTAAATTTTTTCCAGTTTACTACAGTGCAGTTTAAATCTTGGTCCCAGAGAATAAAAAAGACCAAGTTCATAAATTTGCCATGGATTTTGGCAGTGGACATGGATAGACCTAGTCAAATCCTTTGATCTTTCCAGTAATTTAATACTGCATGATTTGTTGCAATGTGTTTTCTCAGGCTTTGTCTCTTTCAAATGTGAACATTGCTGAATAGAGTGTCCTCATATTAACCTAAGTGTCAGCTTACACTCCTCTCTGCATTAATTCCTTAACCTTCAACGTTTTGTCTAGCTCTATATGGGCTGTAGAAGAACTCATTGTGTCCCACAAAGAATAGATTCCCTATTCTTAAATGTTGTCCTTTTTACAAACAGCCCCAGAAAGAAATGATTTTGCTTATAATTTGGTATGTAAAGTGTGGCTGACTAAAAGGTTTCATTGCTGATTCTAGTGATTACTAAATTGGTGATTTTCATCTAAGCCTATGCCAGATGGTGGTGACTTAAGAGTTGAGAAGTTGGATGTACATGAAACCAGATAGTTGCCTTAGACAGCTTTCTGCCCCATCTTTGTGATCCCTCAGTGGCTATTCTCCAGAGCTACCTAGGACTGACTGAGCTCAGGAGAGAAAATAATTTCCCTTTCTGCTCAGGTCCATCCTTCAGTTTCTCAGAAGCTTGCTGTCTTGTTTCAACCATAACCACATCTGAAATTCCGTGATTGTAAAGAGTTTAATCGCGTCTGTATCTTTAAACATTAAATAATCTTAAAATAGTAAAGAGAAATATACCAAGCTTTGAAGGAACAAAACAGTTGGTGCCTTTTGTTCAAATCTAACACCAAAAAGCCCCTTTTATGTTCCATTTTCCTCTCTCCAATTTGAGCAAATTGAGACAGGCCTAGAAATATCTGGCATTCCCTCTCTTCTGGATGGCTAGATCTGTACTTTTAGTAGGAACTAGGTTATACTGACAAAATTTTGTTCTAGGAGTCAGTCAAACCTGTGGTCAAATCCTGCTTTCAGCCTTTATTCATATCATCTTGGGCAAATTGGTTCATCTCTGTGAGCCTGTTTTCTTTTGGGGATAATATTAGTACCCACTTTGAGAGGCTGTAATGAGGATTAAATGAGATAATGTACATAAAGGATTTAGCACAGTGTCACGCATAGTAGGAGCTCAGTAAATATTACATTACAATAAATATTACATCTGGCATTCTGCAATTGGAAAGAGTTTAATCGCGTCTGTATCTTTAAAGATTAAATAATCTTAAAATAGTAAAGAGAACTACAGCAGGCTTTTGAAGAAACAAAAGGGTTGGTGCCTTTTGTTCAAATCCAACACCAAAAAGCCCCTTTTAATAGGTTCCATTTTCCTCTCAGTTTGCCACCTGAATATCAAATAGGTATCTGTTACTCAGATCTGCCAGACATATTTTTAAAGAGTGAATACTGGTATGAGGTAACTCATTATCTGCATTAGGTGGCCTACCCAGACCTGGGTAGTGACTACTGTAATTATTATTATTATTGTTATTTTTGCTGAGGCATCACTCATAACAAACATCCTTGCTACTAGGTGACTATTGCTTATGCTTCCACAGGTGTTCCTTTGACATTTGTCATTAATTTAATGAAAGCTCAGTAACACTATCAATGTGATAAAAGATCAAAATTACCATCACATTTCCCCTTTTAACAGATGTCTTGCATTGTAAACAGAATATGTTTAGCACACTGACTTTTTTCCCTCTGCGTGTTCTAACTTGAATAGTTTGTGCTTTGAGATTTTTGTATCTTTTAATACAAAAATTATACCCTGTCCACATACATGCTCCTCCTGTCTTCTGAAATGCACCATATTGGGAGATGAGAAAATAGGCCCAGAAAATAGAAAATCACTTAATTAGTAAGATGGTCATTATCATAGACAGTCTCTTGGCTTCCTTCTAGTTAGTCTATTCATATCTCCGCAAGTCTCATTTACTCCCTACCCCACCCAGCATTCTTCATATGACCTAGATATTTTCTGATTACCACAAGCTGAACATAGTGTTAAAACAATTGGTGGTGTCTCCATTTCAATTTTGTCAGTGAGTAAAAGTCATTTATCTCATGCAGTCACATTTTAGACATTTTTCTAGAACAGCTATTTAAAACTAATTGGGCTTTTGTGGTGGTTTATGCCTATAATCCCAGCACTTTGGGAGGCCAAGGCAAGAGAATTACATGAGTCCAGAAGTTCAAGGCTAGCATGGGGAACAGCAAGACTGCATCTTTACAAAAAAAAAATTGTAAAAAAAATTAGCCCAGCATGGTAATGCACGCCTGTAGTCTTAGCTGTTCAGGAGGCTGAGGCAAAAGGATTGCTTGAGCCCAGGAGTTGGAGGCTGGAGGGAACTCTGTGATTGTGCTGCTGCACTCCAGCCTTAATGACAGGTGAGACTCTGTCTCTTAAAAAATAAATACAATTAATTCATCCTAAAGCTCTTAAGCTTCTTTCTAGAGCTTCTCAGTTGTAAATATTTTTGAACTTTTGCATGTTTCTCAGTATAAAACCCTTTCAGCTGAGAAAACATTTGTGGTAGGCAGCTCAAAATTATTATTTCAGTTTTTTAGATCAGATATCCTCATAGCTGCTATATCCTTTATCTCTTAAGAAAGGTTTTCATAATGAAACAAAACACTATGTCTCCCTATTTTTCCCCTATATGAGTCTGTTACTAAAAGTACCTGATGTAAAAACTAGTGAAATTCTCTCCATTCCAGAATGTATCTCATCTGATTTAACTTCTTTTTAATTGGGATTAAAAAGAATTATGATTTTAAACTGTTCAGAATGAGGCATTGAGATTGATGAACTCCATTCTTTCATCATCTGACCTATCTGCTCTATTATGTTATCCACTATTGCAGTTGAATGCCATGGCTAACCGAGCAGCTGGGAAGGGATATGAAAATGAAGACAACTATGCCAACATTCGCTTCAGATTCATGGGCATTGAGAACATCCATGTAATGCGGAACAGTCTGCAGAAACTCTTGGAAGGTACAGGGATTTCACCTTGGCTAGGCAAGCGGCCATAGCTTTGCATTATTATGTAAGCAGAAAGCATGCCTGATTTGAGGTGGAATATAAAAGCAAGCAGGTGAGCAGAGTCAGTAAGTGGTTAGGTGTTTAACTGTCGTACGAATCTAGCTTACATAGTACTGAATTACAGCAGCGTTGGTCTGGAAAAAGGAGTAAGATGTTCAGTTTCATAATTCGATAAAGTTCATCTGGGTCTGGTCTAGTTGGTATGAAAATTATTTCTCTCCGTAGAAATACAGAGGTTGATTTTCAGGGATAGGCAAACCAACATAAGTATTAAGTAAATTTGGGGTTGATTTTATCATCCTCAAGGTAAGAAATTACCTTATTTAATTTGGTATAAGGATTTAGTCTGATTTCATCACTATGCTGATGAAGCTGAATTTAGACCTCAAAAGAATAAAGTTGATATCAGACAGTTTTGGTGATCTGTTATCGACTACAAAATGATTAGGGTCAGAAAGGAGGCAAGGTGGGATTGGGGCCTTACAAGACTCTTGGGTGTAGAACATTTCTCCTAAAACCACTACCCAGATTCCATGATGTTCTGTGTCACTTCAGGCAGAGATAGTGAAAACCTGCCTTCTTTAGTGAACTCCCCGTTCTTCCTCTCCTTTCTTCAATTTCTTACTTGTGTTGTCTGCCATGACCTCCCCTTTACATCACCCTTGCCAGATCTCATCTGCTCAGTCTGCATCCCTTTTAAAATATTAATGTCCCTCTTCCTTAGGTCTTTTACTCCTTTCTTTTTTGCCCCAGAATATGTTATGGAAAAGGACTTTGTTTTACAGATTTTTAAGGCAAAAGATTTCCCTCTGCTGGCTAATTATTGCAGAGTGCATAAAAATTAACTGGTAATTTTTTTTTCAACGTGTTGACAGAACAGGGCTACAGGGAGTAGATGGGGATGTGGGAGTAGAGACAGATGCTGAGGGCCTTCAGAGTTAGCATAAGTGGGTGGGATTAGGATAGGGATCAAATATGTTTTCTAATCAGGGGAGGTATGTTTTCCTGTAGATGCTAATTCAGTCTTCTGGCTCTCTTCTTGAGAGATTTCTAAGGGCTTGAGAGTGGGTTCTACAGCGTAATAAAGCAGGGGCCCAGGCTAAGAGATCTGGTAGGCTTTAGACCTAGTTCTGTCCCTGACTCACTGTGTGGTTTCTAACTAATCATTTAACCTTTCTGCCTCAGCTTCCTCACTTTACAATATGGAGATCCACTTTCTCCCCTTTCTTAATGAATAAATCGAGTTGATCATGAATTTCAATCTCTGCTTCCTTTTCTACCTTAGTTTGTGAATTGAAAACTCCAACAATGAGTGAATTTCTTAGCGGCCTGGAGAGCTCAGGGTGGTTAAGACACATTAAAGCTATTATGGATGCTGGAATTTTCATTACAAAGGTAATAATCAGGACTTTTAAAATTGCACTGACTTTAATTATGAGATATGTTGAAGTAGTAGTGTGCCATGGAAAGAATATTGAAAAGAAAATCTAGTTTCTAGATTCAGCTCTGCCACTAATTCACTGTGTGCCCTTGGGCAAGTCTCTTTTCTTCTCTGGGTCTCAGTGTCTCCATCTTTAAACAAGGTGGTTGAACTAAAATCTAATGTTGTAACTTTCAGGCGGCCACAGAATTCTTTGGGAATATTATTAACCCTCTCCCCAACTGGAAAAATGAACATATGATGGTACATACAGAAAATGAACCTCAATTTCAGAGGGTCCACAGAACCCTGGACTTCACATTAAAAACTCTTAGATGATCTCTAATCGATAAGTGATAATAATTGATCTCTGGCTCAGTTATTCTATGATGTATTTTTGTGTTGATACTAAGGTATTAAGTACAAGAGTGTGTGTGAAATAAATGCAGAGCTTACGTATCTATGAGTTTTCAGAACTCTGAATACAAAGACCTATTTTTTTAAACGTCTTTGTATAGATCTGCCTCCAAATGCAGTCTAGGTAGGCTTTGTCACCCTGTGTTTATGCTGACCCATTTATTTTCTGATCTCTAGGACCCTAGGCTCTGTAGCCTTTGTTAACTGGTTTGTTTTCTTACAAAAAACAAAAACAAAATTCAGTGTATATTTTATCATTTTGACATTTTGTTTTTATGTATTTCTACATGAGAACTCTCCCTCTTCATCCCACCCCCATTATTTGTTAAAAGTAAAGGAGATAATGACTTTTCATCCATCTGCTATAATTTTCTCAGTTGAAGGCAATGTTATATATAGCTTCTGGCTTAAAAGGTTTGAAGATTGTATGTAATTAACTGCCTTAAATATCCAAGCCCTAATGCTTTTTGCTTTCCTAGTCCTGTTGCCTGCACTTTTCATTGTTATTGATGTTCACTATATGACCCTGTCAGTTGTTTCAAGCGCACTATTCTAACTATTCTTTGTTCTGTTCCTTTTTCATAGATTCTACATCCATATATCTATAGTCCCTTTCTGAAATCAAGTTTATTAGACCAAAGAGAGTGAGGATGGATAAGAGGGAGATCTGATAGACAGTACAGCCTTATAAATATTGGTTGAATTAAAATGAATGAACCAAAAAGATAGGCTTGGATTGCACAGTGTTTCTGTGTTCCCTATCTCTATTACCACCTATCCAGTATCCCAAGCTTGAGAACCTCAGTCAGCCTTGAATTCTACCTCTTCTCCTCCATCTGGCTATTGCCAAGTCCCATGTGTTCTGCTTCAAAAGTGTTTCTCAAATCTGTCCTTTCTTCCCAGTCTCCACTGCTACTTCTCTAGTTAAGATAGCCACAACACATTGCCCACAGTATAATAACCTCTTAACTGCTTTACTTGGCTCTAGTAGTTACTCTTTAGTTTGGGAACCAAATTGCTACTAAAGTTATTTTTCTTGAACATGTCTGATCATGTCACTTTAAACTCAAAATCCTCCATTGGTTATCAATTCTATTGCCAATAAGACCTCATAAGCTTGACATTCAGAGTCTTTCACAATGTCACCCCAACTTGGCTGTAGTGGACCTCTTGCTATTCTCTAACATACTATGTTACTTCTTTTTCTCTCTCTTTTTTAAATGTTTATTATATTTACTTGTTTTCTCATTACAAAAGCAGTACATGTATATTATCAAAGAAGTAAACATTTCAGAAATATATAACATAAAATGTAAACATTCCCCATAGTTTGTCCCCCAGTGCACACACATCACTGATAGTAGTTTAATGTTTATGTCCCTCGATCAGCACTGTCCATTCGAATTTTTTGTGATGATGGAAATATTCTCTATCTGTACTGTCTAATACAGTACCACTACATGTGGAAATTGAGCACTTAAAATGTGGCTAGTGAGACTGAGGAACTGAATTTATGACTTTATTTAGTTTTAACAAATTCAAATTTAAGTAGATATAGGTGGCTAGTGACTACCATATTAGACAGTGCCGTTGTAGAATTTTTCAACGTATAGAGTTACACATATTAATACTTTGTGAAATGAGCTCATACTGTGCATACTGGGGTTTTTTTGTTTTGTTTTGTTTTTGTTTTTGTTTTTTTTGAGACAGAGTTTTGCTCTCGTTGCCTGGGCTGGAGTGCAGTGGTTTGATCTCGGTTCACTGCAACCTCCGTCTATCGGATTCAAGGGATTCTTCTGCCTCAGCCTCCTGAGTAGCTGAGATCACAGGAGCATGCCACCACGCCTGACTAATTTTTGTATTTTTAGCAGGAACGGGGTTTTGCCATGTTGGCCAGGCTGGTCTTGAACTCCTGACCTCAGGTGATCCACCAGCCTCGGCCTCCCAAAATGCTGGGATGACAGGTGTAAGCTACCATACCCGTCCCATACTGTTCTTTAATTGACCTTTTATACTTATACTATTTAATGAGCATTTGTTAAGACAGTTCAGTCAGTACTACATCATTCTTTTCAGCAACTATGTTATATTCCATTGTAGTAATTTACCATAGTCCCCTGTTGATGAAGAATTTAGTTGTTCCTAATTTTTCGCTAATGCAGATATTGCTGCATCAAATATTCTTAAACATGTATCTTTATAGAAGTGGATTTTCTGAGTCAAAGAGTATGAATGTTTCAAATTTTAATAGATGTGGCCGAATTGCCCTCCAAGTAGGTAATACCAGTTTCTATTCCTATCAACAGTGCCTGTTTTTCCATTTTGGCAGCAATGGTTATCATCAATCTTTTTGATCTTTGCCAGTGTGATAGGTGATACATTTTATATTATGTTTTAATTTGTATTTCTTTAATCATTAGCGAAATCCAGCATCTTTTTCTGTCCACCAGTGACTTTTGACTCCGTTTGGAGCCCTAAACAAAGAACATGGTTGCTGCCATCATGCTCTACCTACTACCTGAGGTGTCTGCTTAATTGAGAAGTCAAAAAGGTTGAAAAACTTTTTTCCAGATCTCTTTAACTCCTTTTTTACCTGCAACCTGACTACCTTTCTAGGAATACCATTTTTTCTTGTACCCCATTACAGAGATTATTCATTGTCCCGCATCATATGAACCACATGACCAAGGGCAGTTTCACTATTCTTGCTCCTTACAAAAGCCCCTCCTCCTTTCAGATCTATTTCATTTAGCTATACCACCCTATACACCTCCTAGTTACTCTTCCCCCTCCATTAAGGATGTTGGGAACAGCCTTGCCACCTTCTTTTCCATCCTGGTTCTTCCCGTCATCTGAAGAGATTTGAATGTCAATGTACAATTTATCAAACATTCTGCACTTACAGTTCTTTGGACTTTTTATAATTCCAGCTTTCACATCCTTAATCCAGCTAGCATAGTTCTTCTATCTCATGGAAACCTCTGCACTTTTAACTCCTCTTTTTCAAACTTCTTTTTTCTTCCCTGTATACCAAGACCGGATAGTATAGCACTTCATCCATGCCACCTTGTCTCTTATCCTTCCACCCTACCTGCCCTGCTAGCCACGGTCATTCTCTGCTCTTACACCCTGACCTCTAAGCATTGCTGCAAATAAATATATCCCATAGATATGTTAGTTGGTACTATCACAGGTTTATGCTTGATAGTCTTAGCTGAGGTCCTGTAGTTGCAGGGCCACGGAACAGTTATTTTATGTGTATTTGGTTGGCTCCCAGTCCTGTTTCACCAAGCAGATATTCCTTGTACCTTGCTTTCAAACTGGCTACATCATGGTAACTTCCCTTCTATAAGCCCATATTGAAACATGTCCTTCATGGAAAAAATGTATGTAATACCTCTTCTCACTATTATCCTTACCAAATTCTTCGCTATCTCAGAGGGCATGGTGCCCCATCTTCTGTGTAAGGATACTCACTCCACCTATATTTGAAATTCCATCTCTTCCTACTTTAAGGAACCAACTCTATCGGTTAAACCCTCTTTGTCTTACATTTTCAACCTATTATTTTCGACTGGCTTCTTCCCTCAGTAGTATGCTCAAATGGTTTCTCATTCCTAAAGAAAAAGTACTTTTTCAGTCTTCTAGCTATTGCCCTCTTTCCTCTTGGTTATAACCTTCTGAAAAGTAGTTAGTCTTTCCTATTAGTACTTCATCTCCCTTCACCTTTCAGCCCACTGTGATCCAATTTTCATATATTGCTCTTCCAGAGGTCTTATGACCTTTGATTTGTCGTATCTAAGACTCACTTGTTAGTCTTCACTCTATTTTGACCTTTCTGTTGCATTTGGCACTGTTCACTCCTTTTCACTTTGAACCCTTTTTATAGTCCTGACTTTTATCCAACTACTCCCTCCTGGATCTTTTTTTTTTTTTTACCTTTTGGGCTTTTTTGAACAGGCTGACTCTTATGATAATCCTCCTTCCTCTACATGCCCTTTAAGGGTCACTGCTTTTTAAGGTCTTTTCTTTTGTCACATTTGGTCTCTGCCTGGACAGCGTCAACTATGCACACAGTGTATACTACTGTCTCTATTCAGATAGTGGTGAAATCTATACTCTGGCTCAGATCTTTCCCTCTTCTGATCTTTAAACCCACATATCCAATTGTCCCACTGGACTTTCCATTAGATGTCCCTGAACTACCTCAAACTCTCCATGGCCAAAACAGAAATCTTACATATCCCCACTACTACCTAAAACTTTCTTTTGTGTTCATTATTTAGTCTAATGGCACTACCATCCACCTGGTTGCTAAACCACACATTTCAGAGTTATCTTTAAGTTTTCCTTCTCTTTCATCCCATGTCTAGTCTCTCACTCTGTCCTGTTAAAATGTTCATAATTAAAATCCCTCTTCTGTTTTTCAGCTCCACTGCTACTACCTTACCTCAGGCCTATATGGACTTTCACGATTTTAGTAGCTCCCTAACTGGTCTTCCTATATCCAAACTCATGTCCTCTCAATCCATTCTCCTTACTGCCACCACAGGGATCTTTCAACGATGTACATCTGATCATGGCACTCCTCTGCTATCAACTCCCTATTGCCATCAGATAAAATGTATACCTGATTTGTCTGACCCTTGTCCTCCTAGCCGGCTCTGTCACTCCTTGTTCTCTCACTTCCAGCTTAGCCTGAGCCATTAAGTGTTCTTCCTCTATGTCATGCCTCCTTGCAGTGTACACTCTGTTACATCATTCTCCAGCCTGAAATGTCCTTTCCTCCTGGTCCATCTGATAAATTCCTATTCATCTTTCCAGACCCACCTTAGTTGTCTCCTCCTCCCTGGTTATCTTTTGTGCCTTTGTTATACCTGGCATGGATTTTTACCTTTTATTTTTCATTGGTTTGCAGCCATGCATGTAAGTGTTTGTCTCTTTTGTATTCCCAGTGCACATCATAGTGCCTCTTGTACAGTCACTCAATTATTGGCTAGGTGTATGGATGAATGAATGAATGAGTAAATTAATGTCCTTCTTCACCTAAGGAAATCCTACTCCTTCTTCAAGGGTCGAGCTTCCCTGGCTCCTGCAAAAGAATATTGTTACTATACATTACTGTATATTACCAGTAGTTTTTCCATTGTATTTTAATTATTTATTTATCTTCGGTCACCCTGACTAGTTTGTGGGTTCCTTGAAAGCAGAAACTGAGTCTTATTTTTGTATTTCTAATACCTGGCACATAGAGGCGCAAAATTGTTAGAATGAATAAGTGAATGGTCAATATGTACCATTGCCAAAATTTCCCAGGTTGAGTAACTGCCCAGATTTTTACATCATTCTGATTATATTTATATAATCGCTTATTAAAGTGACCTAAGACAGGCGAGCACCTCCATCTTATGTTGAAAGCATTTGTGTTAGTAAGCCTAAAACAGCTAGAGGAGATTGTTGTCAGATCTGGGACTAGAATGCAGAGCTGTCTGTGTTTTTGAGTGTGAATTCTTCCTCCAGTTCACCTATTCCTCTGAGAATTGATCCTTGGTTTCTTCAGAAGCTTAGTGAATTTAGAAATTCCCTCATTTTTCTTTTTGCCCTGCATTATGGGTTAGTTTTGATATTCTTTTCCTATTTGGTAAGCTGTCCCTCTCTTGCACTCCATTGTTTTCCTTTTCATTCCCCATAGAAGATGCTAACTTTATGAGAAAAAATTAATGTAGCCCATAAGACCAGGTTCTCTGTGCTTTAGGGACTGTATTTGGCAACTCTTTAACCCAACAAGCTATGCGAGGGTTGCTTATGGTACTTTTTTTTGCCTCTTGTCTTCACAGGCAGTGAAGGTAGAAAAGGCCAGTGTCTTAGTCCATTGTTCTGATGGGTGGGACCGCACAGCACAAGTCTGCTCGGTGGCTAGCATCCTCCTAGATCCATTTTATAGGACATTCAAAGGACTCATGGTAAGAGAGCACGCTACTGTATTTTACTTTGTGTAAGAGACAGATTGCGACAAAATAAAAAGAACTCTCAAACAACTTTTTTTTTTTTTGCCAGAATTAACTCTAAGTCTACAAAAATAGCTTTTTCAATTTAGCTTCTTTTCATTAAATTTAGGTGTGTACTATCTGTATACTTTCTTTTGTATGTTCAACATACTTCTTACCTATCAGAACATAAGTTATATGTAATAGACTACTGTACAGAGTAGGAAAAGCTCAAAAAGTTTGCAAAACTTAATGGATGACTGTTAAATAGGCTGTCCAAGGGGCTCATCATCTTTAACATGTCAGCTTTTTGAATGTCAGACTCATGATTGTTTTCTAGTGCTGAATCTAAGGCCTCTTAGTTGATCTTTCTAAGAAACAGAACTCACCATAGTGGTTTATTCTCATTTCTTTGGAAAGCTTTTTCTTTTTCTTTTTTTTTGAGATGGAGTCTTGCTCTGTCACCCAGGCTGGAGTGCAGTGGTGCAATATTGGCTCATTGCAACCTCCGCCTCCTGGGTTCAAGTGATTCTTGTGCCATAGCCTCCCAAGTAGCTGGGATTTCAGATGTGCACCACCAAGCTCGGCTAATTTTTGTATTTTTAGTAGTGACTGGGTTTCGTCACATTGGCCAGGCTGGTCTCAAACTCCTGGCCTCATGTGATCTGCCCTCCTCAGCCTCCCAGAATGCTGGGATTACAGGTGTAAGCCACCATGCCTGGCTGGAAATTTTTTTTTTGATGGTTAAAAATGGTTTTGTTACTAGTATAAAGCTAAGAGCTGCCTTTGGATTTCTGTTTTTCAAAGTTTGAGTTTAATATCGTGCTTGTCAGGATTGCAATTAGTTATGGCTCAGTGGCTTGTCACACATCATGTGAAAGCCAAAGGAAATTTGACTCTGGATATGTCTGAGAGCATCTGAAATTTGAAGGCACCCTGTATAGGCCTGTGAATGAAATCTAAGTTACTTACTTAGTTATCATTTAGGAAATTAACTATTTTATGATCAGTTCAACCATTTCAGCAAAGTGTTTTGACATTCTTGTGTGTATAATTAATTCATTTTATGATTTTCCTAATGCAAACTCTTTCTTTTGTATAAAATGAAGATCTTGATAGAGAAGGAATGGATATCCATGGGCCACAAGTTTTCCCAAAGGTAAAAATATACTCATTTTGAAGGAAGAGGCTGAGGATAGTTCATTAGGGTGAAGTATGTCAAAACCTCAGTATGTACATGTAAAAGAAGGAAGAGGAAGTTGAACATTGCATAAATCTCTTTTCATCAAGAAACAAGTATTCTAGATACTATGCTAGGGCACTAAGGTGACAAAAGTAACCAGAATATTATCCCTGTTTTTAAGGAGTACAAGTAATTATATCAAATTGTTAAATATTTCAAGGAAGAAAAAGGCATCACAGGCTACAGAAGGAAAAGTGCTTAACATTGCACGAAGAGGTCAGGGTAGGCTTCCAGGAGTACACAGCATTTAAGGATGAATTTTTGGAAATGAGAAGAAATTTAATAGGAAGAACAAGGGAATGAGGAGGTCATTCAGAGGGACTAATATCAAGATAATGCACCTTAAAAGGTGCACCTTTTATCTTTTGAAAGATAAAAGGTGCAGATTTTTTCTTTTTTAAGGGGTGAGGATAAGGGCTTATATTTTTCTGTTGTCTGCCATAAACCAAACTGCTTCACTAAGGCTTTATCTGTGTTATCAGAACAATCGATAAATATTTGTCAAATGCCTAACAATGTGCTGTATATTATATCAAACACTAAGCTGATTCCAAAGGCAAATAAAATTTGAGATTTGACTGGGCGCAGTGGCTCATGCCTGTAATCCTAGCACTTTGGGAGGCCAAAGCGGGTGAATCGCCTGAGGTCAGGAGTTTGAGACCAGCCTGGCCAACATGGTGAAACCCCTTCTCTACTAAAAAAACAAAAATTTAGCCAGACATGGTGGCGAGTGCCTGTATCCCGACTCCTTGGGAGGCCGAGGTAGGAGAACCGCTTGAACCTGGGAGGTGGAGGTTGCAGTGAGCCAAGGCCACACCATTGCACTCCAGCCTGGGTGACAAGAGCAAAACTCTGTCTAAAAAAAAAAAAAAAAAAAAAAAAAAATTTGAGTTTTACCCCAAGGAGATTATAATTCAGGTCTTATTTTCCCCCATTGATATGTGTTCATTTAATTTCATTTGGTTGCCACTCTCTAGCCATCTGGGTCCATGTATTTATTCTTCCTTCACCCACAAACTTTGGACCAGTCATTATGTTAGGTATTGAGAAGACGGAGTTGAATCAGATATAGTCTCTATCTCTTCTGTGAAAGAAAAGAAAAATCAGTGATGACAGTGTAGTATGGTAAGTGCTTAAGACAGAGGAAAATATAAACTAAGGAAGTTTACCCATTCTGGGGCAAAGAAGGCTTCCTGTAATAGCTGACATTTTAACTGAGATTTAAAGTATGAGTAGATGTTTTTTAGAAAGGGAGAAAGCATTCTAGCTACTGATGTGTTTTAAACCATAAAGGCATTAAACAGGATTATGTGTTTGAGGAGCTGCAAGCAATTCAGTGTGACTGGGTCAAAGGGTGTGTAGGGAGAATAGAGGAAATGAGGCCAGGGAAGCGGAGCCAGAGGAGAAGATCATTCAGAGCCCTGGTTTTTTTTTTTTTTTTTTTGTTTAAAAAAAAAAAACGCTAAAACACTTGAGTGTTTTGTGTACATAGTAAAGCTATATTGGAGGACTTTGGACAAGGCAGTGACATGATGTTTAGATCTATATTTTACAAATATCCCTCTGACAGCATGCAGAAGATTGAAATTGGTGGCAAGGGGCTGAATTAGTAGGCTACCAGAATTGATGAGGGCCTGAAAAAAGACAGAAGCAATGGGATAGATACAAGGGTATTCAGGAAGTAGAACTCACCAGAAGATGGGAGGAAACATTAAACAGTTCTGGGATGAGGTTTCATTCATGTACTTTAATAAATGTTTCTTAAATACTAATTTTGTGCCAGACACTATGCAGTAAACAATATAGATGTGGTCATTGGTCACATAGAGCTAAATGTAGCTATTTAAATTAAATTAATTAAAATTAAATACAATTAAAAATTCAGTTCCTCAGTCACAGTATCCACATTTCAAGTGCTTAACAGTTAGTGGCTGCTATATTGGACAACACAACTGTATAAATTTTCCATCATTGCAGAAAGTTCTATTGGAAAGAGGGTGTATAAAAAAATAGACTAAATGACCAAAGGGTTTAGAGTATGGATGACAGTGAAGGACACCAGCAGCTAAGAGGTCTGCTGGGATTAACTAGCTTTGAAATTCTGGCTGGCATTTTGGTATGAGGTGTTTCCTTGCTGCTGCCAACAGAGACAAAAGATGACCCTCCTACAGCCTATTCCCAACAGTGTAATCCTTAATGCTAACTTGTGTCTTCCTTTACCTTTATTTGCATCTCTCAGGTGTGGCCACCTCGATGGGGACTCTAAAGAAGTGTCCCCTATCTTCACCCAGTTCCTAGACTGTATCTGGCAATTAATGGAACAGTTTCCCTGTGCCTTTGAGTTTAATGAAAACTTCCTGCTAGAGATTCATGACCATGTTTTCTCCTGCCAGTTTGGAAACTTCCTTGGTAACTGCCAGAAGGATCGGGAAGATCTAAGGTGAATTTACTTTGTGAGAAGACACTGAACAGGGAGAAGGGGGTCAGTGCCAAAAGAATGTACCTACCACCCTGAATTTGACATAGCAGTCAAGAAAGGGGAGGAGATAACAATAATAAAAAGAACTTTTGAAGCATAAAGCACTCAATGTTTGCACAGAGATCTCTCAGAACCCTGAGATTTCTCATCTGTAAAATAGGGATAATAATGCCTACTTTTTAGAGCAATCATGAGGATCCAATAAAATAATGGATGTACAAGGCCTTTGCAAATAATTAATTGCTGTGCAGGTACAAGTAGTCATTATCTACAGTCCTTTCTCACTCATATCAGAGATCACAAACTAGCAGCTCGTAGGCTGAACCCAACCCAACAGGCATGATTTGTTTAGTCTGTGGAGTATTTTTTTAAACTCCTAATTAGTTGCCAACATTTTTGTTTATTTCCGTACGTGTTTGGGGAACAGGTGGTATTTGGTTACATGAATAAGTTCTTTAGTGGTAATTTGTGAGACTTTGGTTCACCCATCTCCTGAGCAGTATACACTGAATCCAATTTGTAGTCTTTTATCCCTCACCCGCTTCCTACCCTTTCCCCCGAGTTCCCAAAGTCCATTGTGTCATTCTTATGCCTAGTTGCTAACATTTAAATATCAGTAGATTTCACATAAAAATCCAGTTATTTTAGAATGTTTTTTATAAATATTCTGAAAAATCAGGAGCTTTGGCAACACTAGACTGTGTTTTCTCATGATAATAATAAGCTAGAGGTGAATAGTAGCTGTTCCATTTGGATGAGGCAAACTCACTCTTGTTGACTGCAGTTCTTACCATTCTCTATAGTTTATTCTTAGCCCATTTCTAATGTTATCTGCCTAGTTCTAGCAGGCAATTGAGTTTGCACCCCTCTCTTAAACTAACATCTTGGCAATATATGAGACATAAGTACTTTTTGAAATTGACAAGGTAGAGCTGTTATGAACAGTATCTTCGTTATTTTAGAGACAGAGAAAAAGAAATAGAAAAGTAGCTGTTTCACAACTCACTCCTATTTCACAGCTGTTGGCTGAGTTAGTAGTTAGCCCAACTCACAGGGCCCTTTATAGCATAGCCAGGATGACATTACTTCTCTGTGATTTGGTTTTCCTGTCAACATAGAGAACAATAATAAGTCTTTCTGTTTCAACATTTGTATTTATTTGGTAGTGTCTCTCTTGATGCCATGTATGTTTCTCTCTCTCTCTCTCTTTACAACTAGACCTTTGTCACTTTCTCCCCAAATTCTTTTAAGATATTCATTCTGTCTTTGTTTACCTATGCATTAAAACCGAGACTCTTTTCCATAATCTTTTTCCTTCTCTTAAAATCAAGTCAATATATGTGGTATTTTTCACACAAATCTGGATATCCATTTAAAAAACATAACAGTTGAACATTTTAACATATTTTAAAATAGTGATTACTTAAAATAAGCAGAAGTGTCATTCATTCATGAACGGAAAAGCACGGGCTTTAGAATCAGGCAGACTTGGGTTCAAACTTTGGCTCTGTTACCTACTAACTATGTGACCTTGAGCAAAATAATATTTAGTATCATTTTCTCGGTAATTTTGGGCTAAAATATCTCAAAAGGTTTTATTGGGAAAATTTAAGGAGGTATTTTAGGTAAAGAGTTTGGAACAGTGTTTGAACACATAGTAAATACTCAACAAATTAGTTACTTTACCAACGGAATTTTTTTTTCTGTTATAAACCAACAGCAAATGAGAAAGATGGATATACAGAGCCTTTGGCCTCACTGGAATGCTCTAACAATTGTAAAAGTTACAAGACCACAATTTTAGGTCTTACTGCTTATATCACTCTTCATTTCTCCTTTAGCTTCCTTTGACATGGTGTGTGTGCAAATGACCTTCTCATGAATGGTTATACAGCAGCTCTCTTTGGGAACCAGTGGATCTCATGTATTTTGAGGTGTTAACTAAGGGACTTGCTTACTGGTTAAGCAGGCTCCCCATGGTCTCAACTAAAGTATAAGAATCAGTTCTGTAATATAAATGCCATAGTCTTTAGTTGCCCACCTGGGATAGCTCATGAACATTTTCTAGTATAAATTTCCAATTGTCTTTCACTATGTTAAACCTTCTGAAAGGAGGAGAAGCTGGCTTTAAGTAAAATGAAAAATAGAAGAGCCACAAATTCACCCCGTAGAACCTATCTCTTAACTTACCAGACTTTTAAAAGCAATTCCAGAATTTTTAAAACCAGAAAAGTCATTAGTTCATAAAATCCTTGATTTGGAAGATAACTTAGAGGTCACATTTAACAGTGAGGAAATAGGCCCAGAAAAAACTCGGGATTTTCTTAAGATCACACAGCTGTTCCACACAGAGACTGGACTTAGAATCTCCTGTTCTCCAATATGGAACTCTTTCTAGCCTCTCATTTATTTTAAAGATGGATAAATTGAAGCCTAGATAATTTGTTACTCCATCAACACTTTTTATCTACTTATTTTTCTTCTGTCATATCCTGTCCTCCTTTCTTGAGTTGGGTTAGTTGTTAGTAAAATTTGCTGCTTATCAGTTCAACAGGACTATTGAGATTACTTGCTTACTGCTTTTAATTTTTTGGCTTGTTTTTCTTTTCTAACAGAGTCTATGAGAAAACACATTCTGTGTGGCCTTTCTTGGTTCAGAGGAAACCAGACTTCAGGAACCCTCTCTATAAAGGCTTCACTATGTATGGGGTACTCAATCCTAGTACTGTGCCCTACAACATTAAGTAAGTTCTTAAGTTTTTCCCTCCTTTCTTATAGCAGGTCCCAGGGTCTCAGCTTCCTTGCTTCTCCTTAGATAGCTGCCACCATCTGTACAAGCCTGGCTATGGAGTAGGATACTCTGTCCTCATATCACCCATACCTTGCTGCTTCTGAAAACAAGAGCCCAATTCCTTTTGGTTTTCAGGGCTTTGCTCTTACCTGCTTAGGGAAATAGATAAGAAATTGTAGTTGATTTGTAGGAATACAGCCAGTCAAGATAACATTTGTTTGATTCATTTACTCTTCCTCTGTATCTTCTACTTTTCTGTCCCTTACCCAATAAAGAAAAGAAAAATAAAGGAAACCAGGAGAGTGCTGGTAATGTTTGTTATATTTTTCCAAAGCTTCTGCAGGCTGAAGCACTCACAAAGAGTGCAAAGCAGACATTAATATATTTATTAGCTCTAATAGCTCATTTTGTGGATTCTTTAGGATTTTGTAAATGTAACATCATGTCATCTCTGAATAGAGAGTTTTATTTATTCAGTTGCAATTTGGATGTCTTTTATTTCCTTGCCTAATTGCTCTGGCTAGAACTTCCAGTACAGTGTTGGGTAAAAGTAGTGAAAAGAGGCACCTGTGTCCTGTTCCTGATTTTTTTAGGGGGAAAGCTTTCAGTCTTTCACTATTGAGTATTGATGTTAGCTGTAGGTTTTTCACAAATTTCCTTTTTCATGTTTCGGATGTTCTCTTCTGTTTCCAGTTGAGTGCTCATTGTATTTTTTTTTTTTTGCTATTATTATATTTTAAATTTTAATTGACACAATAATTGTACTACATATGGGATATAGAGTGATTATGCTGTATTTGCCTTTGTGTGCCCGGCTTATTTCATTTAACATAATTTCTCCAAGCTCATCTGTGTTGCTGTGAATGACAGCTTTTCTTTCTTTTATATTGCTAAAATAATATTTCCTCGTGTGTATATATCACATTCTCCTTCTCAATCCATCCGTTTATGAACATTTAGGTTGATTTCATATCTTGGCTATTGTGAATAGTGCTGCAATAAACATGGGAGTGCACATACCTCTTCGACACAATGACTTCATTTTCTTTGGATATATACCCAGTAGTGGGATTGCCAGATAGATCATAGGGCAGTTCTATTTTTATATTTTTAGGAAGTCCATAATGTTTTTCATAATGAATGTATGATTTACATTTCCACTGATAGTATGTGAGCATTCCCTTTTTTCCACATCTTTGTCAGTGCTTGATATGTTTTGTCTTTTTGTGAATAGCCATTCAAACTTGGCGAAATGATATCTCATTGTGGTTTTGATTTGCATTTTCATAATGATTGGTGATGTTGCATTTTTTTCATATACCTATTGGCCATTTGTATGTCTTCTTTTGAAAAGTGTCTATTCAGATCTTTTGCCCATTCTAAAATCAGATTGTTTGCTTTGCTATTTAGTTGAGTTTCTTATATATTCTGGTTATTAATCCTTTTTAGAAGGATAGTTTGCAAATATTTTCTTCCATTCTGTGGGTTGTCTCTTCACTTTGTTGATTGTTTCCTTTACTGTGCAGCAGAAGCTTTTTAGTTTGATGTAATCCCATTTGTCTACTTTTGCTTTTGTTACCTGTGCTTTTAGAGTCATAGCCAAAAAATCGTTGCCTAGTCCAATATTATGAAGTGTTTTCCCTATGTTTTCTTCTAGTAGTTTCATAGCTTTCAGTCTTTCATTTAAGTTTTTAATCCATTTTGAGTTGATATTTGTATGTGATGAGAGATATGTACCTAGTTCCTTTCTTCTGCATATGGGTATCCATTTTTTTTTTCAGCACCATTTACTGAAGACTGTACTTTCCCCAATGTTTGTTCTTCACACCTTTGCCTGTGTATGCATTTGTTTTTCTAGGGTATCTATTCCATTGGTCTATGTGTCTATTTTTAGATCAGTACCATGCTGTTTTGCTTACTATAGCTTTGTAACACATTTTGAAATCAGATAGTGTGATATCTTCAGCTTTCTTTCTTTCTTCCCCCCCCCCAAGTTTGCATCAGCTATTTGGGATCTTTTGTGGTTCCATACGAATTTTAGGATTCTTTTTTCTATTTCTGTGAAGAATGCCATTGATATTCTCATTAGGGATTACATTGAATCTGTAGATCACTTTGGATAGTGTAGACACTTTAACAATATTAATTCTGCCACTCCATGAAGATGGGATATCCTTCTGTTTATTTGTGTCCTCTTCAATTTTCTCCATCAATGTTTTATAGTTTTCAGTGTGAAGATCTTTCACCTCCTCTGTTAAACTTATTCCTAGGTATATGTTTTTTGTAACTATTGTAAGTGGGATTGTTTTCATGATTTCTTTTTCAGATAGTTTACTATTGATGTATAAAAATACTGCCGATTTTTGTATCTTGCAACTTTACTGAATTTGTTTATTAGCTCTAGCAGTTTTTTGGTGGAGTATTTTGGGTTTTCTGTATACGGTGAACCCTTAAACAACACGGATTTGAAATGTGTGAGTCCATTTATATGTGGATTTTCTTCCACCTCTGCAACCACTGAGTCAGCAAGACAATCCTTCTTTTTCCTCTTCCTCCGCCTACTCAACACAAAGATGACAAAGATGTAGATGTTTGTGATGATCTACATTCACTTAATTAATAGTAGATGTATTTTCTCTTTCTTATGATTTTCTTAATAATATTTTTTTCTTTAGCTTATAAGAATACACTATATAATACATATAACATACAAAATAGGTGTTAATCAATGATTTATGTTATTGATCAGGCTTCTGGTCAACAGTGGGCTACCAGTAGTTATGTTTATTGGTAAGTGAGAACTTATACATTGATTTTCCAGTGTGCAAGAGTCTGACAATTCTAACACTGGTATTGTTTGAGGGTCAACTGTATACACTCATGTCATCTGCAACCAGGGATAGTTTAACTGCCTTTCCAATTTGGCTAACTTTCATTTCTTTTTCTTACCTAATTGCTGTGGCCAGGAATTCAAATACTAAGTAGAACAGAAGTGGTAAAAGCAGGCATTGTTGTCTTGTTCCTGATCTTAAGGAAAAGCTTCCAACTTTTCCCTGTTCAATATGGTGTTAGCTGTGGGTTTGTCATATATGACTTTTATTTGTAGTGAGGTACATACTTTCTATACATAATATGTTGTTTTTATCATGAAGGGATATTGAATTTTGTCAAATGCCTTTTCTTCATCTATTGAAATGATCACATGGTTTTTGTCCTTCATTCCATTTAGTGTTCTGTGTCACATTTATTGATTGGCATATGTTGAGCCATTCTTGCATCCCTGGGATGAGTTCCACTTGATCATAGTGAATAATCTTTTTAATGTGCTGTTGAATTCTGTTTGATAGTATTTTGTTGATGATTTTTGCATTTGTGTTCATCAGGGATATTCTTTTTCAATTGTGTCCTTGCCAGGCTTTGCTATCAGGGTAATGCTGTCCTTATAAAATGAGTTTAGAAATATTGTCTCCTCTTCAATTGCGTCAACTAGTTTGAGGAAAATTGGTATTCGTTCTTTAAATGTTTGATAGAATTCAGCAGTGAAGCCATCGAGTCCTGGGCTTTTCTTTGATGGGAGATTTTTTATTACTGTTTCGATTTCATTACTCACTATTGGTCTGTTCAGATTTTCTATTTCTTCTTTTTTTTCTGTAGAAAAGTTATTTTTTCTTTTTTTTTTATTATACGTTAAGTTCTAGGGTACATGTGCACAACGTGCAGGTTTGTTACATATGTATACAGGTGCCGTGTTGGTGTGCTGCACCCATTAACTCATCAATTGCATTAGGTATATCTCCTAATGCTATCCCTCCCCCCTCCCCCCACCCCATGACAGGCTCCAGTGTGTGATGTTCCCCTTCCTGTGTCCAAGTGTTCTCATTGTTCAATTCCCACCTATGAGTGACAACATGCGGTGTTTGGTTTATTGTCCTTGCAATAGTTTGCTCAGAATGATGGTTTCCAGTTTCATCCATGTCCCTACAAAGGACACAAACTCATCCTTTTTTATGGCTGCATAGTATTCCATGGTGTGTATGTGCCACATTTTCTTAATCCAGTCAATCATTGATGGACATTTGGGTTGGTTCCAAGTCTTTGCTATTGTGAACAGTGCTGCAATAAACATACGTGTGCATGTGTCTTTATAGCAGCACGATTTATAATCATTTGGGTATATGCCCAGTCATGGGATGGCTGGATCCAATGGTATTTCTAGTTCTAGATCCTTGAGGAATCACCACACTGTCTTCCACAATGGTTGAAGTAGTTTACAGTCCCACTGACAGTGTAAAAGTGTTCCTATTTCTCCACATCCTCTCCAGCACCTGTTGTTTCCTGACTTTTTAATGATCGCCATTCTAACTGGTGTGAGATGTTATCTCATTGTGGTTTTGATTTGCATTTCTCTGATGACCAGTGATGATGAGCATTTCTTCATGTGTGTGTTGGCTGCATAAATGTCTTTTGAGAAATGTCTCTTCATATCCTTTGCCCACTTTCTGATGGGGTTGTTGTCCTTTGCATCCCTTGTAAGTTGGATTCCTAGGTATTTTATTATCTTTGAAAGTTGTATATGACCAGGAATTTGTCCATTTTTTATAGGTTATCTGGATTTTCTGGCATTGAATTGTTCCTGATACTATCTTGTGATGCTTTTTATTTCTGTAGCATCAATTGTAGTATCTCTCTTTTTTTAAATCTGATTTTTTTTGAGTCTTCTCTGTTTTTTCTTAGGTCAGCTAAAGGCATCTCAATTTTATCTTTTCAAAAAAACTACTCTTTGTTTCATTGATCTATTTTAAATCTCTCTTTTCTTTTCTTTTTTTTTTTTTTTTTTTTTTTTGAGACAGGGTCCTGCTCTGTCACCCAGGCTGCAGTGCAATGGCACAATCATGTTTGACTGCAGCCTTGACCTCCTGGGCTCAGGTGATCCTCCTGCCTCAGCCCCCCTGA